TTTATTAAATATACTTAAATGGTGAATAGTTACCATCAACAGGCTGGAAACCTGAAATACAGACAATAAGCACCATAAATTAATTTGTGATCCTACAGTTAAACTATCAAATACATTAATTTCAGATTCTGTCAATTACCAGAATACTCGTTTTCCTCACCAGTGCGTTTCTTCATCCAGAGGACAATTACAGCAATTCCCAGAAGAAGAACTCCTCCTACAATTCCTGAAACAGGAGCAACTGGAAACTCTGGAGGATAAGCTGAGAAGGTGCAAACAGTTAATAAATTAAGCAGTGCAGATCCAAAATCTCTTCTTTATGACTGGATGTTGCTTCATAAAATTTAACACAAAATCTAACACAAAATTGCCTTTATCAAAGAAAAATAGTGGTTGTAAATTTTTGAGTAAAAGAAAATATCTTACTGCACCGAAGCTGCAATATAATTAAGGAAATTTTACCAAAAAAGACAAACTCTTGTATACCTTCAAAATAAATAAGCACAACATTGGCAGAAAAGGAGCCCATGAAGACATGTAATGCATAGCTGCATGCAACATAGGGATCCCTCTTCTTATATAGCCATGTTTGTGCAGAAAAGGTTATAAAGTGTCATGTTTATATGTAGAAGTACCCAGAAAAATATGTTTTGAGGGAAACACATGTTGCTCAAAAATCTCAGTTTGCTGTCCTAAAAAAATGGTACCATTGCAAAGGTGTGCCTTACCCCAGTTTGTACGGATGAGAGATTTATCCAGAGTGATTTTTATGTCGTCTCCAACACCAGAAAGCTGAAACACACAGTCGTATCTCCTCCAGCCATCAGGTGGGACTGATGAAACATTGAGTTCAACACTCATCTGGAAGGTCCCATCATTGTTGAGGAGGATCTCTCCTTTCTCAACATCCTCGTGAATTTCTTCTCCGTCTTTAGTCCAGAACATTTCAGCTCTGCCAGGGAAGAAACCTGTAGAGTGGCAGCTGACCACAGAAGAGGGGGTTCTCTGGAGCAGAGATATGGAGGGGCTTTCTGCAGAAAGAAAATACAACATAAGATAAATAAAATATAACATCTATAAAATAGCTGCAAATTTGGGCTAAACTGAATAAACATACCTGTCCTCTGCAGAAAGCTCTTTCCATCACGAATATAATTTTTCAACAACTCAGGACATTCGTGCATGCAAGAGTATTTAAGACGTTTTAATCTAGCTTTGTCAGCATCCCATATGAGTTTTGTGAGCACAGCTTGTGATTTTGGAGCAGTCCATGTCAGTGTCTTCAAGTCCAGGGCTAAGAAGTCTTCACCATTAAAACCATGCTGATTAAATCCTGTAACTTCTCCAGTCTCATCATCCCACTCACAGCCATTCATTCTCTGTAAAATGTGGGGACCTTAAA